GTAATGTACAAATTTTCAAGGAACGCAAAGACGATCGACGACTGCTACAGTTCAATATTATTTATGAACCTATTACTCACTACTCTTCAAATGTGTTTTATAGCTTTCCAGATTTTTACGGTATGTAAGATCATTAGGATGTGTATACATGTGTGTGAACATGTGTGTTCTTTTCCGTATATTTTACATAAAGCGATTAAATTAAACAAATATTAAAAATTATGATTTTCAATAAATAATAGCATAATGTATTGTAATATATTTGATCCGCATACTTTCACGTGCAACTATTAAAATGTATTATTTTCAGATGATAACAGATAATTTGAAAATACCTATTGTCCGAATGTTTTTTCTCTTGTTTTATATCACCTTTATGTTGACGCACTTATATGTATATTGCTACTCAGCTGAAAAACTTATGGACGAGGTAAAACAATTATGTACGTTAAAGCAACCTATGCAACAGAATCATAATTTTCAGAGCACTAATATGGTGTACGGAGTATATGAATGCAAATGGTATGGTCTACCATCGAAAGACGCAAAAGATTTAATGTTGATTGCACATCGATCTACCATTCCTTTGAAATTAACAGCTGGAAAATTCGGGATATTTTCATTTCAGACGTTTGGAATAGTAAGATGTATTTATATATAAAGTATAAAAAGATATTATTTTCTTTCTATATGTAATTATGATGTGAGTCTGTATATGTATATAAAAGAAGAGTGAAGGACCGTTTTGACACACTCTGTATATTATGTATAAAAATTATATTTGTGTACATACGTATATATATTTCAATATATTTATACATATATAATATATAAATATATTTTTATTACATATACATTTTATTTTCTCAATGGCATTTATTATAATTATATTTAAGACTGTATTTTAAAAAATATATAAACTTGTATTTATATTTTGTATTCTATTTAGGCTCTTAAAACGGCAATGGCATACTTATCTGCATTGATAACATTGAGAGGGTAGAGAAAATGTGATACTAAAAAGATCATATCAAATGGATTTCACATAACTGCAGATTGTGACATCAGTTTTTAAATAATAGAATAATCAGATTTACAAATGTTCGTAATTTTTGAATTAGAAAAATGCACTCTTTGGCGCAGTAAGTTTAACTTTATTATTCAACTAGTACTTCAATTATATACACCTGCCATCATTCAACAACTTAATCACAAGAATTTAAGTAAACATATTCTACAATAAAATATTATGAAGACAATTATTAATTTTTTATTGTATTGCAATAACATGGAACTTTAAAAAATATTTCTTGCTTATCAAAAACATAGTTTATAATAATTAAAATTTATAATTAGTAATTTAAATGAACGATGTATATATATTTTATAAAATTCAAAATACTATTATTCCACTTTTACACTAATTGTAAGAATTAAATTATTGTACAATGACTTTTTTTTTAAATGCACCATAGTATATAGTAGTGTGTATCGAATTCGTTAATAAACGTAAACAATAAAGACATCAGATATATTAATCTACTTAAAAAATTCTACACTAACCACATTTTAAGATTTAAACATTAAAATTATAATAAATAAATAAAAAATAGGGAGGACGGACTCCATTTTGCCGCAAAACATTTACCTACGACTTCGTTTGCACTCAGCAATATTGCACACAGCACGTTGCACACACAACATTATTGTACACAGCATATTGCACACACATCATTATTGCAGAAAAAGATAAATCACATAACCCATACAGAATGTGGTGTGTGTAGACCAGAGCTTATTGGTTCGGGGCGGCTACGCCGCCTCGAACAAAATTAAAATAACGTGTCCTACCTGCTTGGGGCCAAACCACCTAGAAGTAGCAATCTAGACAGTGTATGTGTGCACAATAATGTCGTGTGTGCAATGTGCTGTGTACAATAATGTCGTGTGTGTAATGTGCTGTGTACAATAATATCCTATGCGCAATACGCCGTACGCAATATTGTCGTGTCTGTGTGCAAACGAAGCTACAGGCAACCGTTTTGTAGGTAATCGGGATCTTCCCTTACCTGTACATATTATATTAGCTATTTTTTAATTGTATTCTTCAAGTTTAGAGCTCAAAGTTTTCAAGTTTACAGGTAATTGAGATAATATATTTTTGTTTTTTTTTTTGCAAAATATATTTTAGAAAATTGAATTCATATACAGTATCCCAAAAAAAGTCTTCCTACATGTATATATGTATGTATACATAGGATAAATTTGATAAACATTTCACAATATTTTCTTCGAAAACGGTTAGAGATAAGGGGAAAATATATATTGTCAATCAATAATATAAAATAAATTGAGCTCTCGAGATTTAAAAACAATAATAATAAATGTGAAATTAATTAATGGGCAATTGAGAGCTAAGAATACGCGGTTATTTATGCGTGTAATTAATAAATATATTTAAAGACGATTTTATATAGAATTCGCAGAAAATTTCTTTATTAATTTATTTATTATTTCTTATTAATTTAATTATTATCTATCTAATAAATATTAGGTATCTATAATATAATCTTTGTTGAACAAATATATGTTTTTAGACAACAAAAAATATATTATTTATTTATTACCTTCTAGTAGAATCTTTTAAATAATGCTATATTTAAAAAAACAGTGTTTGTAATAGATTCTTTAATAAAAAATATAATAATTATGTTACTTATGTTACTATTGATCGTTCTAAAAAGAGTTTATACAAGTATTCACGCAGACAGTAGCGGATGAATTCTTTGTATACTGAGCAAGCGCAAAATCACGATGGTTTGGTATAATCGCAGAGAACGATTCAGTCAAACGATAATTTTTGCACTGTGAACATCAATGAATACCAACGAAGGTAGAATATATCTCGACATAAAATAGTAAAAATATGTGCACCGTATATGTGATATTAAAAATATAATTACATAAACGTATAATTATTAATAGTTATACTTAATTAATTTTTAATATTTTCTTAATTTTCTTTAGTTGCTTTATCTTAATTTAATTTCCTTTTATTTTATTCATATCAAAAATATTTTAAATAACTATATTTTATTCATCATTTAATATCTTACTTATTTTACGTGTTTATCGAGTATAGGAGTACGCGGTCATGACAAATATATAATACCTTCAAAACCAAGGTCTGTTTTAAATGAACGAAAGGTCGCTTTAATTGTTTGTTAGAAAAAATCAGCGAAAAAAGGATCATAATTTTTTGCGAGGTGTCTATAGATCTCTTATAGAAGGTTAAAATGTTGATGGTCCACGAAAGTTTGCGAGAATGGAAATGAAACTTTGCATATTAGCAAAAAATGTTTTGTTTTCGACGAAAAGTTTCATACAAATTTACAGTGTTTTTGAGAGTGGCAAAGTTGGATAAAACCAAATTACATGAAGCAAATGGTCAGTTGTGCACAAATCGCTTTTCGTTTCCATGAAAAAGTTTAATACTAGAGAGAAATTTTCCAAAGCTTTAACATACAACTTGAAAATCGAAGGATAATTACAGCCGCAGTTTTTTTGTGATGATAAAATTTTGTAAGAAGAGATCTCGAAGAGAGATTTGAAGCTCAAACAGAACATAATTATATATAAAGATTAGTGCAATATTGAATAAAAATATCATTATCGTAAAACATTTTTAATTTTGTTTTAGTGACATCATATCTTCACCTTTTATTCATATTCACCTTTTATTCATTGTTTACCACTTTAATTCTTATTTTACGCTACGCACGCGAGCCTCGAAAAGTATCAATTTCGTTCTACTAATTGTTCTATTAATTTATAATAACAAATTATATAAAACGTAAGTGGAGTGAAATCTTTTATGAGTGCTACAATATAACTAAAATTAAAAAATTAAGTATTTTTACATGCACTACTAACTATTATATTATACATTTATTCGATAATTACTTCTAAGAAATAAGAAAAGTATTAGAGATGAAATAAAGTAATAAATTAATGTATTCTAATTTAAGCGATTTTTCTAAAAATTTTATTTTATAGATTTGAATTATATGTTTACCACAACGCGCCAATTTCTACGAATGTTTGGCATATGGCCTGATCCACATATGACTTTAAGTGACTTTCGTTGGCCAAGTATAAGACTCATTATCGTCATATGTAACATAAGTTTGTACATATTTATACCGCAAATGATAAATGTGATCCGTGCTTGGGGTAACATGACTCGGATGGTGGAATATTTTGTTTCTACGAATTCCAGCTTCATGGCAATGTGTAAATTGATCGTTACCTGGTATAATGGCAAGAGTGAGTTTATTTCAAGTGACAATGTGAATGTCGGATATTTTTATTTTATCATTCGTAATATAAAATATCAAAACTAATAAAAATATATATCTATACATATAATATATCCACCTTGTTTTAATACAAAATATTAATATAATGTTTTAAATAAAAAAATAGCATGTTCAAAATCTGTATATAAAAAACGATTTATAGTACGATGTTTAAAAGACAGCCCTATTTTCTATTTAATGTCTAAGGACAATTTCGACTATGTTCGAATTTGATTAACTTAATTCCTTCAAGTCAGTGATACATATATGTATGAACGTCTTTAAAAAATAAAACATTTAGTAGATATTTATAAGATAGAAATTTAAGATTTCTTATGTGATTTTGGATATGGTGCTGGAAACTCGCTAATTTTAATTTATATATATATTTTAAATTATATATTTGTGTTGATATTTATACTGGAAGAACTTCAGCAGCTGATAGTGTCAATTATGACCGATTGGATGACTTCGACAACTAACTGGGAACGAAATACCATGCTGAAATTTGCGAAATGTGGCAGAAACATATCATTTAGATGTTGTGCAACCGTAACAGGCTTGATTATATTATCAGCTTCTCTTCACATGATCAGATTTAGTAAAATTATACATCTACCCTATCGGACCCTTATCTATAGGATGGATAATATCCAAAAGAGTCCGACTTTCGAAATCACATATTGTATTCAATTTATCGGCGGCATGTGTTCACTCCTCGCTATCTATACGATCGACAGTTTTGTCTCGATACTCGTGCTGCACACATGCTCGCAGCTCACAAATCTGCGGATGACATTGAACAATCTAGTGAACGAATTAACTAATGTTTCCACATCTTCCTCGAGAAAAGACATCTTTAGGAAAGGTTTAGCTGCAATTGTTGTACGACATGAGCATCTCATCAGGTACGCGCGTTGGAAAATGTACAGTACATTAATAAAATAGAATATTTATTCACTTCAACGTACCTATATACAGCCAAGAAGGGGACTTGGCTTATTCATTCCTCCACACATTAATATATGCGCTTCTTTCACAGCCGCCTTGCCTCTTTCCCTAAATTTTTTACTTTTCTTTCTTAACTATTCTCTCTCACCTATCTCTGAGTCTAATAACGAAAACTAAAATTAAAACTAATGTTGCGTGAGTAACGAAAGTAAACTGTGACTGCTTCTCTTACAATTTATATTCTAATTCACAGCCTTTTATTCAAAGTCCTACGTATAATCTCCCCATCTATCCTTATACCTTGTTTTTCTATCCACTTGCTATTCTATTTTTTTTAGCTTTCTTATTCTTTTATTCCAGCCGTTGACGTTGACTTGGTTCTCTCTATTTGTCCCACACCACACATCTGTTTTCTTTTACTCTTTACCTCTCCCCAACGTTGTCCTTTTTATTTCCTTTTTCCTGTCACTCCAAATCTTTAATATTTTTCCTTTTGTCTCATCTAAGTCTTCCCCCCATTTCCTGTTTAGTATCTCCTAATTTGTCAAACTTATCTCCCATCACTATACATTCTTTGACATAGATAGATTTAATATCAAAAATTTGAACTTGAAACTTTTTTAAGACTTGTATTTGTTCATTAAAATTTCCCAAGTAACTTGTTAATGTATAACAAATGAATAATATATTTACAAATTTTTAAGGAATGCAAAGACAATTGACAACTGCTACAGCTCATTATTATTTATGAACGTATCATTCGCCATTCTTCAAATGTGTTTTATAGCTTTTCAGATTTTTACGGTATGTAACAGCACTTATATATGTATTTTTTCGCATGTATTTTACAAAGCGGCTGATTTAAATGAATATTAAATTTACTAATAATACCGTTTCATTAAAAATAACGTCATATATTGTATTAGATCTGCATTATGCACTTTTATTTGCAGCGTGCAACCATTAAAATGTATTATTTTCAGATGATAACAGATAATGTAAAAATATCTATGATCAGAATACTTTTTCTCTCATCTTATATTACTTATATGATGACACATTTGTATGCATATTGCTATTCATCTGAAAGACTTATGGCAGAGGTAAAATTTGTGTGCGTTTATTCAGTATTTTTAATACCTTTTATATATCATATATATTATTAATTCACAAGCCATATAAAAATCATAATTTCAGAGCACCAATATGGCGTACGGTGTTTATGAATGCAACTGGTACGATCTATCATCAAAAGACGCAAGAGACTTAATGTTCATTGTATATCGATCTAAGATATCTCTTAAACTGACAGCTGGAAAATTTGGCACCTTTTCATTAGAGATGTTTGGATCAGTAAGATATATTTATGGAGTTTAGACAAATATATTGTTTTGTCTATTGTGGTTACGATGTAAACCTGTATACCTCTCAATTGCATAAAATGCAAATTTTTTTACAATAATAAACCTGGATTGATTATTTTTATTTTTCTATTATTTGTTACATATATATCAATATATATATATATATATGTGTGTGTGTGTATGTGTGTGTATACATATATATATATATATATATATACAATATATATTATGTAATAATAGAAAAATTATATGAACAATATGTAATTTATAACATTTACAAAAATTTGTATTTTTATGCAAAATCTATACAGTGTTTTATTTCAAATGTAATGAGTCAAATATCTGGAAAAATATGATAGATACAGAAAAGTGTTTCAAATGAATATTGTACAGTCTGAAAATATATTGGCAAAATTAATTAAAATTAATTTTCAAATGTATGTATATATATGTGTGTATATTTTATTATTGCATATACAGGGTGACCCATTTTAACTTAGGCAGCCAAATAACTCGAAAACTAAATCCAATAGACAAAAATGTTTCAAATAAAAATGGAACGGTATCGAGGGGGACACGTTTTAGTCACGTTGTTTTTTTCCTAAGTGGAGGCGCTAAAAAGATATGAAGGTCACCTCCACTTTTTTAAATGGAATTATGTAATTTTTTATAGATAACGTGATTCCTCTAATTATTTTGCATATAAAAGTATTAAGGTAGAGATACCAAAAAACCAATAGTTTTCGAGATATTTTACACTTTATTTTGGTACATATTGACACAAAATGTTAAATAACTCGTAAACTGTTAACTTTTTGATTATCGTACCTTAATACTTTTGTGAACAGAATAATGAGATAAATCAAATGGTGTAAAGAAAACACATAGTTGCATATTTAAAAAATTATCCATTTTGTATACATATTTTTTTTAAAGCAACTATGTGTTTTCTTTACACCATTTGATTTATCTCATTATTCTGTTCACAAAAGCATTAAGGTACGATAATCAAAAAGTTAACAGTTTACGAGTTATTTAACATTTTGTGTCAATATGTACCAAAATAAAGTGTAAAATATCTCGAAAACTATTGGTTTTTTGGTATCTCTACCTTAATACTTTTATATGCAAAATAATTAGAGGAATCACGTTATCTAAAAAAATTACATAATTCCATTTAAAAAAGTGGAGGTGACCTTCATATCTTTTCAGCGCCTCCACTTAGGAAAAAAACAACGTGACTAAAACGTGTCCCCCTCGACACCGTTCCATTTTTATTTGAAACATTTTTGTCTATTGGATTTAGTTTTCGAGTTATTTGGCTGCCTAAGTTAAAATGGGTCACCCTGTATACATGTATTGTTCGTAACATATATCATTTTTATATGATTTTTACTTAAAATTGTCAAAATTATATCTTAAAACAAAATACACAACTATATTTATGTTCTGTATTCTGTTTAGGCTATTAAAACGGCAATGGGATACTTATCAGCACTGTTAACAATCAGAAGTTAGATAAAATAATACTGGAAGATAATAGCAAATGGATTTCTTATTTAACGGACTGTGACATCGATTTTTGAATAATAGAATAAATAGATTTGTATGCACTTGTAACTTTTGAATTAGAAACATGCACATTTTCGGCTCAGTAAAGTTTAATTATTGTTTGAATATTAATTCGACTTCTTATCTAACATCATTCGACAATTTTACCATAAGAAACATTAAGGAAATATATTTTAAAATTAAATAGTGTGAAGACGAAACTTATCAATTTTATTGTATTGCGATAATATAAACTGCTATTAAACAATGAAAAACTTTATGCTTATTAAATATGATAATTTACAACCACGTGGTATCTATGTAATTCTCATCGTGCTGGTGTTAATATTAACAACCTGCAGTGGATTTCATATTATTGACTTTAATTTATCACCACGATAGTGTTGATATAAACAGAGATTTCAAATTTACATCATGTTGGCGTTAATATTAATACCAATATAGTAAGAATTATATAAATACCATGTGGTGTTAAATTCTCATTCAATTTTAAAGAGTGTACCACATTAAATTTAAACAATAACTATATATATTACATATACTCCTATTACTTGTTTAACATGTTGTTCAATAATTGTTTCTTTAGTACGTATAATATTACAATTATGTCACAATATTTATATATACCTAAATTAATGTAATGCAACGATCAAATAAATCAAGCAAAATAAGTTGACAAATAAAATTTATTTGAACTCAAATAATAGAAATCTTTACGAAATGCTTTGTACTTCAAGTCATCATCAGCCACATCACTAATTCTTCAAAAAAATCTCTGTTTTTTAATTGCATTTTGAAACGTTTTAAATTTTCTCAGTAAGTGAAATAATTTGTTTTATTTTTATATAGTTCATACAACAAAAAATCGAATATATGTTAATTATTAAATACGAATTTTTTAATTTAATAACAATCTTTTCTTAACTAAATCAATAATAAAGTAATTTTTTAATTACTATGATGACATTACATTTAAAAAATAATCATAAAATTCAGCTATTATCAATAGTATAATAATTACATGTTACTGATCGTTTTGCTATTGATTGGTATTCAAAAGGGTTTACAGAAGTATTCACAGATGGTAGCGGAATCCTTTGTGTACTGAGCAAGCGCAAAATCATAATGGTTTAGTACATATAATCGGGAGAGAAGAGAGAGAAGAGCGCTTCAGTCAAACAATAATTTTCGCGTCGTGAACATCAATGACTGTCAATAAAGGTAAAATGTTAAAGAAAAAAAAAATGCGATATAATACAACTATGATATATACAAATGCAGTATGTAAAAATCGAGTACTTGAGATCGCGCGTTAATAAAAAATCTATAAAACTTCCAAAAGTTAATTATTACTAAATAATATTGTTAGTACGATGAACTAATAAAAAAAATATATTATCGAATAATTTGTTTTTTATAGAATATTATACGTGCATTAATAATTATGTTTAATTTTCAAAATTTTTCTAATTTTTTTTCCAGTCATGTCGGTTTATTTTTATTTTGTTTCTATTTCATAATCAAAAGATAAATCTTCTTTTGAAATAATTATAATCTATTTGTTTAATATAATATTTATTTTTCTTAAATATTTATTTATGGATGTAGTTAAAAAGTAAGCATGAAAAATTTATAATATTTAAAAAATAAGCAGTTGTTTATTAAAAAAAATATTCATTTTATAATTGTAATAATTTATTGCAAGAAAATATAAAAAATAAACAATTGGTTGTAAAGATCTATTGTAAAATTACAAAACTTTTTAGAAAAAAGCTTAGAAAATAAATAATTTAATTTAATTTAATATTAAACTATGTTTGTTCTAAAATTTGATTTTATTAGATTTGAATTATATATTTAATCCGATTCGCCAATGGCTATGGATCTTTGGTATATGGCCCGATCCACATATCCCTTTGAGTGAATTTCGTTGGCCAAGTATAAGATTCATTATTGTTATGTGTTCTGTGGGTCTATATGTATTCGGTCCTCAAATGATGAATGTAATTCGTGCTACGGGCAACGTGACTCGGATGGTGGAAAATTTCTCCTCTGCAAATTTCAGTATGTTGGCTGTGTGCAAACTGTTTGTTACTTGGTACCACGGAAAAAGTAAGTTTATATTTTCTACAATAATAACTGTCGAACAGATTTATATTTGTGATATAAAATGTCACAAAACTATCTTGTTTATTTAAGCACAAAATGTTCAAATAAATGTTTTATATATAGAAAGCCATGCAAAATCGGAACATAAGACGTGACTTTTACTATGAGGTTTAAAAAATGTTTTAATGGTATCTTTAAAACGTTTTATGTTTTATTTTAAACAATGCTATCTGGGAATTTATTTTGCTTTACTAATTTATGTACGTATTAATATTTAATCTGGAAGCACTTCAATCGTTGATAGTATCGATTATGACCGATTGGATGACTTCGACGAAAGAGTGGGAACGAAATACTATGTTGAAGATTACAAGAAGTGGCAGAAATATATCCTTTAAATGTTGTGCGCTCGCAACTAGCTCCGTTACATGTCACATTGCTTTTCATTTGCTGAGGTTCTTCAAAACTATTCACCAGCCTCAACGAAATCTCGTTTACCGAATAGAAACAATTCAAAAGAGTCCGAACTATGAAATCACCTATTTTATTCAACTTTTCGGTGCAATGTTCACAGCTTTCGCTAATGGCATTATTGACAGCTTTATCTCGATGCTTGTGCTACAAGTGTGTGCGCAACTGATAAATCTGCGGACAATGCTGAATAATTTAGTAAACAAATTAGCCAACAAATCTATATCATCTTTGACATTTAGGGAAGATTTAGCTGCAATCGTCGTACGACACGATCATCTCATTAGGTATGTTATAAAATTTAGAGTCCCCACTCTGTACTTAACATTGCAGTGAAAAATATCTAAAAATATATTTTTAAAAAAGATTTAAAAATAAGATTCTCGATTTCATTGTACACATTTGTGTTCAACAAATCTTAATGATGACAATTTTTTTTAAATTCGGGTAATAAATCATTAATACATAACGAGTATGTAATGTTTTCAAGGAGCGCAAAGATAATCGACGGCTGCTACAGCTCAGTGTTATTTGTGCACGTGTTATCTACTACTTTTCAGATGTGTGTTATAATTTTTCAAGTTTTCACTGTAAGTGGAATTATTTATATACGTTTCTTCTTGTGCATTTATTTAAAAAAAGCTAAAGAAAAGTAATATGCATTTTTATACTAATACTTTTTCACATATTATATATATAGTAACAAAATATATTGTATTAGATTTACACAGAAAACTGTCTTATTATATACAACAAATAAATATATTATTTCCAGATAATAACAAATAATACGAACGTGCCTATTATCAAAATAATTTTTCTCACATTATACTTTAGCTTAGTGTTGTTCAGCTTATATTCATATTGCCACTCAGCAGAAAAACTGATAACGGAGGTAAGACAACTTTACAGATTGTGGATTAATATGATTAGATTTTGTGGAAACTAAATTAGTAAATATACAAAAGCAACAATTTGTTTTTACTTTTTATATAAAGTAAAAGTTTCCAAGTTTCTTTATTTCTATAAAAGTTTATAATAAAAAATAAAACAAATTTCTCAAAAAATCCATAATCAATTCATTATATAAAAAAATCTGTGCATGTAATTTTTAGAGCACTAAGATGGCATACGGCGTCTATGAATGCCAATGGTATGATCTATCGTCGAAAGACGCAAAAAACTTGATGTTTATTGTATATCGATCTAAAATTCCCCTTAAATTGACGGCTGGAAAATTCGGTACCTTTTCGTTAGAAATGTTTGGAATAGTAAGATATATTTATGACAAGAATATATACTCCTTATTTATCTGTGTATGCGAATTGTCCATACTAATGCACGTGATTGTATAGAAATATCCCTATCCGTAATCAGTAAATAAAAATATAAGTAAAAAATAATTTGTATTATAATATACACAATATATAATATATGTATAATAATATAATGTATATACTATATTACATGTAAGTATATACACAGTATACACATAATGTATATTATATATATAATATATATATATTACATTTTATTATCTGATTATGGTATTCATTACAGGATTATATAAAATTAAATTTTATTTGTAATTTTTACTCTGTTTATAGATTTTGAAAACATCAATGGGATACTTATCAACGTTGCTAACAATGAGAGATTAAAGAAGATACTAAAGGAATGATAACAAAATTAATTTCATAATTATATATTAATTTTTGAGTAATGAAATGAAAACAGATTATATCAATGGTCTGTAACATCACTTTCAAATTGAGAAGATACACATTTTTGCGCAGTATATGGAACTATTTTTTTATTATTACTTATTGAATTATTTATTTATCTCCGTTTAAAGGATAAAAATTATTTTTTTTAATTGTATTGCAATAATACACGTATTAAGCAATTAAATAATAATACTTGCATATCAAATATGAAAACACTCATAATTCAGATAAGAGCTTAAATCAACAATTTAAACGAGCGTACGCCAAGTCATACTGTTATATCATATGTATTAAATTTAATAAGTAACTGCGTATTTTATTTATTATTTAACATATTCGTTAATAGTTATTTTAATAAGGCGCAATAATATTATATTTGTGTAATAACACTTACGTAAGTATCAGTTATTAATTTTTTTAAGATATGTTATAATCCTAATTTTTTATGATATGATTTTGAAAAATCACAAAATCTCAAATTATAGACTAATGTGTAAACGCGAAAAGTTATATACATTATCTGACTATAAAAATCTTAAATTAAATCATACTCTTTAAAATATAAACTTATAAAATATTATAGTAAAAAACGGTTAACAAATAAAAAAGGGAAATGTAAAAATTTTCGAGAAAAACAAAACATGTACCGTTTTAGCGCAGTGTTATTCGTGCACATGTAAATCGCTAATTTTTATTTATATTATGAGATTATTCAAATTTTTACGGTGAGACAATTGTTTTCGTTTTTTGTATAGTTCATAAAACAAAGATTAAATATTTATTAAATATTAAATAAATTAAATATTAACTTTAAAATTTTAATAGTGATGTATTTTCGTTATCGCGCATTAGTACAAATAAATGCGGTACAGTAAAATATTATTAATTATCGGACTTGAAAAAAATGTATTATTTTCAGTTAATAATAAGCTGTTGAATATACAAACTATATGTTAAATATAATCACTAACATGATTAATAAATGCATTCTAAACATGGTCATTAATGTTCAGATTGTATTTCAATTTATTAGAGATTGGAAAATCCATTTATTCTTTAGATTGAAAAAATATCGGTAAAGAGAAGTTTTCTACAAAACAAAAATATCTCCTTCTAAATTTTGTACTCTATACATTATATTTTATTTTTTTTATTATACATCTAATAGTAGTATACAGTCTATCTAGTAAGAGCGTGGCAGGCCAATCTCAAAGAAAAATGGCTAATAAGCTACTATAATTACATTTTGGCCATAATCCTACTGAATACAATCAATATAAATTTCAGGTTAATAAGCTATTTTTTTTTAGATAGGCCTGCCGCGCTGTTACTAGACAGACTGTAAATAATATTGTTATTAATTCACTTATGAAAACAACATAAAATATTTATTCTTTATATATTTTACACGAATAACGAAAACGTTAAAAAGATACCAACATTTCCGGCAAAAATAAATTAAAGAAAAAAATACAGGAATAATACTTAATTGTTCATACCCAATACAATAATTATTTACACATATATATAATATATATTTATAACATATTGATTAGTATTAATGCATTCATATATATTATCTGTAATTTATCTTTTTCGAATACGTTTTTAAATAAATAATATGAATTATTTATTTAAAATCTTCCGGCAGTGACATAACTTAACTTTCTAATTAATATAATGATATTTGATTCAAAAAAATTATATTTATGATGTATTTGACTATTATCAGTAATATAAGAATTTCATGCTATTCGTGTTATTATTGACTGTTAACCAAAAGGGTTGACAGAAGTACTCACAGATGGTAGCGGTGGAATCCTTTGTGTACTGAGCAAGCGCAAAATCATAATGGTTTGGTAGAATCGTGAAGAGCGATTCAGTCAAACGATAATTTTTGTGCCGTGAACATCAATGAATGTTAACAAAGGTAGAATGTCTCGAAAAAAAAAAAAAAAACAAGAATATTTGCACCGCTATATTCTATTACAAACAGAATCGCATCATATAAAATACTTGTATGATATAACGTAATATAAAAAAATGAAGTTCCTTCCAAACGTATTAACAAAAATTTTATTTTAATATGAATTTTATAAATTTTATGAAAATGTTAATTATTGTTGAGTTACTGAATGTTACGTTTATATATAAAGTTGAAGAAAAGCTTACGTTACTACATTAATTCTTTTTACATAGAACAATATTATGTACATATTGATAATAATGTTTATTGTTAGTTTTTAATATTTCCTTAATTTCCTTCTAGTCATGCTAGTTTATCTTATATTTAATTTTTATTTCATAAACAACAAAATAATAATTCTTCTTCTAAGTAACTATATTTTACAAGCCATTTAATTACGCTATACAATTAAATATTTATTTACGAAAATAAAAAGGTAAAACAAATATTAATATAATATTTTAGAAATAAATAATTATTTATAAAAAAAAAAGTTGATTGTAATGATTTGTTGAAAAATTCGCAAAAAAGTATCACAGATTTGTACAAGTCTATAGATTTTGCCAGTTTACAGATCTTTCAGAACATTTTATATTCCACGAATGTTTGCGTGGATGGAGAAATAAAATTTTATACGCTGATAGAAAAATGTTTGCTTTCGACGTGTAGAATTATAGTGATTTGGAATAGTGAAGTTGGAGTACATTATAGTAAACAATTAATTGGAAAAGCACCCTTTGTTTCTCTTAGTATAACAAGACATTTCCTGAAAGCAGTGCTTCGAAATATAATGAAAGCTGCAACTATTTATTGCAATAATAATGTAAAATTTTTTGCAAAGAGATCGTGTTGGAGATAAATTTTTAAAACAATATAACTATGCATATGAAAATACGCGTGATGTTGGAGAAACTTTATCATTAAAAACCTTTAGTTCTGTTTTTTAATAGAATTACTCTACATATTGGTACAATATTATTAATTTTATTATTAACTACTTTAATATGTGTTACTATGTTCACAAATAATACGGCAGTGTCAGCTAAAGTCTATACTAATATAACAAATTCTATAAAAAATGATATAAAAGAAGTATATTCTCCTATGCTACAATTACAGAAAAAATATAAAAATTTAAATAACTTATAAATTCATTAACAAGTATAATTTCTTCTAAGTAAAAAACATGTTAGAAAGTACTGTAACGAATCCATATCTCATTCAATAACGTTAAGAAATTATGTCTCTTTTAAAATTTGATTTTATTAGATTTGAATTACGTATTTACCCTGACTCGTCATTGGCTATGGATGTTTGGCATATGGCCTGATCCACATATCCCTTTAAGTGAATTTCGTCGGCCAAATATAAGGTTCATTATTATTACGTGTACTGTGAGCTTTTACGTATCAGTTCCTCAGATAATGAATGTGCTTCGTGCTTGGGGTAACCCAGTTCAAATACTAGAAAATTTTGTCTCGGCGACTTTTAGCTTGATGGGATTGTTCAAATTAATTGTTACCTGGTATCATGGCGAAAGTAAGTTTCACTTTTAATACAAATATATATTTTCATAAATATCAAATGAATCTATTTTTATTGTTAAAGTTGATAAACGTTAAAGTTATATTCCTCTTATTTAAGCACCAAATTTTCGAACTATTCGATAATTTTCTCATAAAGAACTGCGTGCATCTGTAATTTATATTAATATTAATACATTGTATTAATTTAGAAGCACTTCGACCACTGATGGCATCCATCATGACCGATTGGATGACTTCTACGAGCGACTGGGAACGAAATACTATGCTGAAGATTGCAAAGCGTGGCAGAAGTTTATCATTTAGATGTGCTTTGTCCTCAGCGGGCACGATTATATTTTACCTTTCTCTGTATTTATTAAGGTTCTTTAAAAATATAAACCAGCCTCAACGGAACCTCGTCTATCGATTAGGAAATATTCAAAGAAGCCCATTCTACGAAATCACTTATTTTATTCAAATGACTGCCGCCGTATGTTCAAATCTCGCTAATTACACCGTCGATAGCTTCGTTTCGATACTTACGCTACAAGTGTGTGCACAACTAATAAATCTACGAACAACGCTGAACAATCTGGTCAATGAATTAGTCAGTAAATCTATATCTTCCTCAAGATTTAGAAAAGGTTTAGCTGCGATCGTTGTACGACATGATCATCTCATCAGGTACGCCGGAGAATATCCGGAGAATTACTTGATATTGGAGCATTTATAAACATTATTTGATAAAAAGGATAATCGAAAAAAAAAATTAAGAAAGAAGTCCAACTCTTTTATCCTTCTAAAATTGTACGAAAAAAATATTCACAAGGCAAAAAGATCTGTTGATTAATTTTTTTTTTAAATATATCCTACTTTTAAGAATCAATAAGAAACTATTGAAAAATATTACAATAAGACGTAAGAACACACAAAAATGATTTAAAAAATGATAAATGATGATAACAATGATAAACGATAAAAAATTTACATTAATTTATAAAATAGGATAAATTCAAGAGGGAAATTCAAGATATAAGTAATAGAAAAGAAAACAAGTTAAATCTTTTTAAAGATTTGTATTAGATCCAAGTTATAAATCATTAACGCATAATGAGTAAATATAAATTTTCAAGGAACGCAAAGATCATTGATGGCTGCTACAGCTCAGTATTACTTTTGCATGTGTTGGCTGCTACTTTTCAGATATGTGTTATAACTTTTCAAGTTTTCACAGTAAGTATAATATCATTTATATACGTTTCTTCTTACTCTTTTTTGAAAAAAATTAAACAACTTAATATGTAAATATTAAAAATTCATTAATTCTTGCAAATACCGAATATGATATTTATATAATTGTATACACTGTGTCTCATAATTTATAACTCAAAATACTACAATTTTCATTTTAAGTAATAGTTTTTGAGATATGACGGTTTAAATATAACTAACTACAGACTAGATAGTTTCCTATATAATTTTGTGAGTATTAGTGAGCGTGCTGAAGTGAGCACTTACCACCGTTCCCTACCGCACACGCAACTCATGGAACAGGTGGTCATCTAAACGTAATCTATAATTGGCCATAATTTAAACTTTTATTATCGCAAAAATTAGTGTTCGAGATAAAAATTTTTCCATAATTTTTTTATTAAATTTTCCAAGAACTTTAGGTAGTATTTTGAGTCATGAATTTTAGAGAGACACTGTAAAATTTCTACATAATTTATAAGTATAACTACTATGTAACGTTATATAATTGTCATACTGCGTATGTGCTGGAAATAATATTTTTTCTTATAAATTATGTTCATAACGTAATATACATCAGATTTTCATTGCTTTATTATGATAATTAAAATGTAATATTTTCAGATAATAACAAATAATATGAATGTGCCTGTTATTAAAATGATTTTTCTGACATTTTACTTTGTCGTTCTGTTGACAAATATGTATGCATACTGCTACTCAGCTGAAAGATTGATGACAGAGGTAAGATAATTAGGTATATTAATGCGACCACACAAATTACGAATTAATGATTTTAATATCCTTTACATAAAAGGCAAAGATTTATTTTTCATATGAAATACAAATTTTATATAACGCAAAAGTTTTTTTATGAAATTCTTTTAGCGAAAATTGAAAAATTTCTTAAAAGATTCATGTTCAACTCACGGTTCAAAAAAAAAACCTGTGTGAAATTTTGTAATTTTCAGAGCACCAAAATGACATACAGCGTGTACGAATGCAAGTGGTACGACATATCACCGAAAGACGCGAAAGACTTAATGTTCATTATATATCGGTCTAGGATTCCCCTTAAATTGACCATGGGAAAATTCGGAATATTTTCGTTAGAGATGTTTGGAAAAGTAAGATGTATTTATAAGAAGAAAATATATTACTTTATATGCGAATTGTTTATGTCAATTTAAATGTATCTATAAAAACATGCCTTTCCATATTATTAAATTGAATTAAATTATTTTTTATTGTTCTGTTTTATTCTTGTATCGCGTTTTTATATAATATATATACCTATTTCATATATTACGTACGTTTCTAGCATACATTATAATTATATAAAATCATATTTTATATGTACTTTATGTTCTGTTTAGATTCTGAAAACATCAATGGGATACTTATCAGCGTTGCTAGCAATGAGAGATTAAAGAAGATACTAAAAAAATAATAACAAAATTAATTTCGTAGTTTCAATTTTTGAGTAATGAAATGAAAACAGGTTATATCGGCTGTCTGTAATATCACTTTCGAATTGGGAAGATACACATTTTTGTGCAGAGTATGTTAAATCATTTTTTGATTATTGCTTGTTGAACTATTTATTTACTTCCATTTAGAGGATAAAAATTATTATTTTTATTGTATCGTAATAATACACATATTAAGCAATTAAATAATATTCGCATATGAAATATGAAAGCATTCATAATTCAGATAAGAACTTAAATCAACAATTTAAACAAGCGTACGCCAAGACGTACTGTTATACGTATTAAATTTAATAAGTAACTACGTATTATATTTATTATTTAACATATTATTCGTTAATGGTTATTTTAATTAATCAAAAAACACTTACGTAAATATCAGTTTTTTAAAATAAGTAATAATCCTAATTTTTTATAATATATAGTATGATATGTTAAAGACTCACAAAATCTCAAATTATTAGACTTATATGTAAACGCCAAAAGTTATATATTACATTATCTGACTTCAAAAATCTTAAATTAAATCTTACTTTAAAAATATAAACCTTTAAAATATTATAGTAAGAATACACATATCACGTATGTGGAGACTTTGTACATGTCAATTAACAATGATTTCAGAATTATAAATTTGTGATATTAATCAATATTTTTGAGAATATGACTTTTCTTTGATTTTTGAGATTGTACATCAGATCAGCTAATTTGATGGTGACTAGTCTCAAACTTTGAAGGATGTTTGGCGATTATGTATGCTGAAGATGACTCCAAAGAGAGTCGAAACGTTCAAAATTTTATGAATAAATAGGCAATTACGTATTAAGAACCATGTTCGACTCTCTATTGCCTGATCCACCGATCCATATTTTTTATTATTTGTATATATGTATATATACTTATTTATTACATATTGATTAATGGATCCATATGTATTACCTGTAATTTATCTGTTTCGAATACGTTTTTAAATAAATAATACGAATTATTTATTTAAAATGTTCTGGTAGTATCGTAACTAAACTTTTTAATTAATATAATAATGTTTTATTTTAAAAAATTATATTCATGATATATTTGACTATTATCAATAATGTAATAATTACATACTACTCGTATTATTATTGACTGTTAACCAAAAGGGTTGACACAAGTACTCACAGATGGTAGCGGTAGAATCCTTTGTGTACTGAGCAAGCGCAAAATCACAATGGTTTGATAGAATCGTAGAGCGATTCAGTCAAACGATAATTTTTGTGCCGTGAACATCAATGAATGTTAACAAAGGTAGAATGTCTCGAAAAAAAGCAAGAATATTTGCACCGCCATATTCTATTAAAACATAATCGCATTATATCAAATACTTGTATGATATAACGTATTATATAAAAATGAAGTTCCTTTCAAATGTATTAATAAAAACTTTATTTTAATTTAAATTTTATAATTTTTATAAAAATGTTAATTATTATTGAGTTACTGAATGTTACGTTTATATGTGAAGTTGAAGAAAAGCTTACGTTACTACATTAATTCTTTTAGATAGAACATTATTATGTACATATTGATAGTAATGTTTATTTTTAGTTTTTAATATTTCCTTAATTTTCTTCTAGTCATGCTAGTTTATCTTATACTTAATTTTATTTCTATTTCATAAACAACAAAACAACATTTCTTCTTCTAAGTATTATAGCTGTATTTTATGAGCCATTTAATTACGCTATATACTAAATATTTATTTATGAAAATAAAAAGATAAACGAATATTAATATATTTTCGAAACAAATAATTATTTATAAAAAAAAATATTTGTAGTAACAATTTGTTGAAAAATTCGCAAAAAAGTATCACAGATTTCTGCAAGTCTACAGATTTTACCTGTTTATAAATCTTTCATAACATTTTATATTCCACAAATGTTTGCGAGGACGGAAAAATAAAATTTTTACGATGGTAAAAAAAATTTTATACGCTGTTTTGTTTTCGATGTGTAGAATTACAGTGATTTTGAACAGTGAAATTGGTGTATATTATAGTAAACAATTAACTGTGCAAAATCGCCCTTTGTTTCCCTTTAGTGTAACAAAGAATTTATTGAAAGCAGTAATGCTTTGAAATGAAAGCAGCGAATATTTATTGCAATGGTAATGTAAAATTGTGTGCAAAGAGATCGTGTGGAGATAAATTTTTAAAACAATATAACTATGCATATGAAAATATGCGTGATGTTGGAAAAACGTTATCATTAAAAAATGTTTGGTTTTGTTTTTTAATAGAATTACTCTACATATTGGTACAATATTATTAATGTTATTATTAACTACTTTAATATGTGTTACTATGTTCACAAACAATAGGGCAGTGTCAGCTAAAGTATATAATAATATAACAAATTCTATAAAAAATGATATAAAAGAAGTACAATCTCCTATGCTACAATTACAGAAAAAATATAAAAATTTAAATAACATATAAATTCATTAACAAGTATAATTTCTTCTAAGTAAGAAAATGTTAGAAAGTACTGTAACGAATCCATATCTCATTCAATTTAACGTTAAGAAATGATATCTCTTTTAAAATTTGATTTTATTAGATTTGAATTACGTGTTTACCCTGACTCGTCATTGGCTATGGATGTTTGGCATATGGCCCGATCCACATATTCCTTTAAGTGAATTTCGTCGGCCAAATATAAGATTCATTATTGTTACGTGTACTGTGAGCTTTTACGTATCAGGTCCTCAAATAATGAATGTGCTTCGTGCTTGGGGTAACCTGTCTCGGATACTGGAAAATTTTGTCTCGGCGACTTTTAGCTTGATGGGAGTGTGCAAGTTGATTGTTACCTGGTATCATGGCGAAAGTAAGTTCACTTTATATACAATATATATTTTCATAAATATCAAATGGATTTATTTTTATCATTAAAATTGATAAACGTTAAAGTTATATTCCTCTTATTTAAGCACCAAATGTTCGGACTATTCGATAATTTTCTCATAAAGAAATGCGTGCATCTGTAATTTATATTAATATTAATACATTGTATTAATTTAGAAGCACTTCGACCGCTGATGGCATCCATCATGACCGATTGGATGACTTCTACGAGCGACTGGGAACGAAATACTATGCTGAAGATTGCAAAACGTGGCAGAAGTTTATCGTTTAGATGTTGTTTGTCCGCGGCGGGCTTGAATATATTTTACCTTTCTTTGTATTTATTAAGGTTCTTTAAAAATATAAACCAGCCTCAACGGAACCTCGTCTATCGATTAGGAAATCTTCAAAGAAGCCCATTCTACGAAATCACCTATTTTATCCAACTATCCGGAGGAACATATTCAATTCTCGCTAATTACACTATCGACAGCTTTGTTTCGATACTTGTGCTACAAGTGTGTGCACAACTAATAAATCTACGGACAACGCTGAACAATCTGGTCAATGAATTAGTCAGCAAATCTATATCTTCCTCAAGATTTAGAAAAGGTTTAGCTGCGATCGCTGTACGACATGATCATCTCATCAGGTACGCCGGAGAATATGCGGTGCATTGCTTGATACTGAAATATTTATAAACATTATTTGATAAAAAAGATAATCGAAAAAAAATTTTTTAAATATGTCTAACACTTTTATCCTTCTTATGCAAGAAAAATATTCAGAAAGCAAAAAGATTTGTTTATCAATTTTTTTTTTAAATATATCCTGCTTTTAAGAATCAATAAGAAACATTGAAAAATAAAACGACAGATTTAAGAACACACAAAAATAATTTAAAAAATGATAAATGATGATAACAATGATAAACGAACAAAAATATTACATTAATTTATAAAATAGGATAGATTCAAGATATAAATAGTAGAAAAGAAAACAAGTTAAATCTTTTTAAAAATTTATATTAGATCCAAGTTATAAATCGTTAATGCATAATGAGTAAATATGAATTTTTAAGGAACGCAAAGATCATTGATGGCTGCTACAGCTCAGTGTTATTTTTGCATGTGTTGGCTGCTACTTTTCAGATATGTGTTATAACTTTTCAAGTTTTCACAGTAAGTAAGATCATTTATATACGTTTCTTCTTACGTTTTTTTTTGAAAAAATTAAACAACTTAATTTGTAAATATTAAATTTATTAATCCTTGCAAATATCGAATATGATATTTATATAATTGTATACAAAATGTCTCAAAAAATTTATAACTCAAAATACTATAGCAAGAAAATTTTCGAAAAATTAAATAAAGAAGTTATTTTTACATAAATTTTTATTTTAAGTAATAGTTTTTGAAATATGACGGTTTAAATATAACTAACTACAGACTAGATAGTTTCCTATATAATTTTGTGAGTTTAGTGAGCGTGCTGAAGTGAGCACTTACCATCGTTCCCTATCGCACGCAACTCATAGAACAAGTGGCTATCTAAACGTAATCTGTAATTGGCCATATTTAAACTTTTATTATCGCAAAAATTAGTGTTCAAGATAAAAATTTTTAAATAATGTTTTTACTAAATTTTCGAAGAACTTTCTAACCAGATAAATAAATGTCGTTATAAAATGCTATGTGTGTACTAAAACCAAGTAATTTTATATGTTGAGTAATCTTGATTTTTTCGTTGCGTTTACTTTGTGAGTTGCTTTATCTGGTAGTTACCTCAATTTACATCTAATAATACGTATTATTTGTATTTGTTTTGTACAGTTTCACCAACGTCAATTACTTAATCGGAACTAACTAATTTACTCTTCGAGTACTACAAAATGGCGCAAAAAAAAAATAATTTTTTTGAAAGTTGAGGTGCAAGCTCTTTTTTTAAAAATTTATTTAAAAATATTTAATGGCCGGTACTATTGTTATAATCGATCAGGAACTGTAGTACTCGTCGAGTACTGTGAGATTCCGTCGTAAAAATCGGCTTTTTCAAATCTTGCGGTGCCACGCGAAGTTAGCACCGCATATTTTTATTTTTTAAAATTTTTGGCCTAAATCAACAGTACTATTGATGAAACCTATCAGAAACTCTAGAACTATTGCGGGTGCAAGCAATACTGTTATTAAAATTTCCGATTTTTAAAGTTGAGGTGCTAACTTCATAGAGACAGACTTCCTACTGCACACCTATTGCATACACTTTCTTAAGTTTTTTTTATAAACCTGCCTACGAAAGGATGTTGCATTAAAAGGTGTTATTACAAAAAAAATGAAAAGTAAATAATTAAATATTTCATAAGATAATATTGATTGAAATAACTACCAAACAAATAAATAATTTAAGTAAACAAATACCTAACCTAAAATAAATTCTCTGCTGTAAAATTATATAAAAAATAGAAAATAATTTGTACATTTTTACAGCAGAAAATGTGTTTTATTTTACAGCAGAGAATTTGTGTAATTGAAGCAGAAAATTTATTTATTGTAACTAATATAGAGAAACAGGACAATGAGCCAATAAATTCGTTAAAATCTTTAAATTATTCTAATATATTGCGAAGAATATCACGTAATTTTGGCTTTTCGTCCTGGTTTCCACTACTGGACTCATCAGTAAGGCATTGTAATGGAAGCCTACCTTAAACGCCTGGGAGAGTTAATCAGGTTGTGTTCCAAAATTGACTGCCAGTATTGAAAATCTATAGTTTATGTCACAAGCATTATAGGCTTTCACTGACAGTCAATTTTGGAATACACACTCAATCGAGATTCTATATGAAGAGATATACGCGTATCAAAGCACTTGCGAGAATTTGCGAATATCGAGAGACCCCTGATGGCGGGACGACGTAGTAATATTCCTCGCAATATTTATAAAAAATAATATATGTAGTCCCCCCCCATAAATTGCGCGCCGAACAATATAACATATTATGTTTATAACATAATATATTACATTAGATTTTCATTGCCTTATTACATACGATAATTAAAATGTAATATTTTCAGATAATAACAGATAATAATATGAATGTGCCTGTTATTAAAATGACTTTTCTGTCATTTTACTTTGTCGTTCTGTTGACAAATATGTATGCATACTGCTACTCAGCTGAAAGACTGATGACAGAAGTAAGATGATTATCTATATTAATGCGACCACATCGTGAATTAATGAATTTAGTATCCATTACATAAAAGGCAAAGATTTATTTTTACCTTTTATATGAAATACAAATTTCAGATAAAGTTTCTTTATAAAATTCTTCATATACAAAAATGAAAAATTTCTCAAAAGATTTATGCTCAACTTATTGTACGAAAAGAAAACTTGTATGAAATTTTGTAATTTTCAGAGCACCAAAATGACATACGGCGTGTACGAATGTAAGTGGTACGACATACCTCCGAAACACGCGAAAGACTTAATGTTCATTATATGTCGGTCTAGGATTCCCCTTAGATTGACGATTGGAAAATTCGGAATATTTTCGTTAGAGATGTTCGGAAAAGTAAGATGCATTTATAAGAAGAAAATATATTACTTTGTATGCGAATTGTTTATATCAATTTATATGTATCTCTATAAAAACATGCCTTTCCATTCATATTATTAAATTGAATTAAATTATTTTTTATTGTTCAGTTTTATTTTTGTATCGTGTTTTTGTATAATATATATATCTATTTCATATATTACATACGTTTCTAGCATACATCATAATTATATAAAATCATATTTTATATGTGCTTTGTGTTCTATTTAGATTCTGAAAACATCGATGGGATACTTATCAGCGTTGCTAGCAATGAGAGAATAAAGAAAATGTAAAGTAATGATAAGAAAATTAATTTCATCATTATACATCAATTTTTATATAATAAAATGAACAGGTTTATATGCACTGCCTGCAACACTATTTCCGAACTGAAAAAATACACATTTTTGCGCAACATGTAAAACTATTATTCGACTATTAATTGTCGAACTATTTACTTCCTTCATTTAAAAGATAAAAATCATCATTTTTGTAATATTGCAATAATACGTACCTTTATTAAACAATTAAATAATAATTCTTTCTATTAAACGCGCGTTAGCAGTATGTAACAATAACTAAAAGTCACATATTTTGTCAACAAACTGTAATAAATTTATATGTAAATGAATTCAGAAATATCGCTAAGTGTTCAACACAAAGCAGCAACTTACTATGGCTTTGACTTTAGGGTCTTTTACGAAGAGTAGATCACTTTCTGCATCGGAGCATGCGTGATCTTTGGGAAGGGATAGAAAAAAGTCGATCGCAAAAACGTTTCAGTCGTTGCATCGTTGACATCCGTATAAGTATCAATGGATGCTGATCGAGGTACGCGGATAAAGATACTCATGTGCTCACGTGAATTGTAGATAATAAAATTTTGATCTAGATGTATTCCTATCTAAACTTACGTTAGAGAAGAGAGTACATAGCTGTTAAAGATATATTTGTGAAATATGGTGCGCTACAAATTGTTGAGTGCTTAAAATAATAAAAAGGTATTCCCAGCAGAACAACAGATCGCGACATCATTTTGATGTTAAAATGAGTCGTGACTGATAAAAAAAGTGACTTTTATAATTTTATGTTCTACTTGGAATGTATCGTTTTTTGTAATTATGTATTTTGGAAGTAAAATTATTGTATAAATCGAGTCGTCTGTCCTCCCAATGTAATATTAGCATACTAACAGTACCGAATAATGATCGAATTTTTTCCTTCGTCAATTTTTGAAACTAAATTCGATCTGTATAGACTTGAATTTCGCGATCGGATGGAATCGATTCAATTTGAGCCTCGTCGGCATTTGGCCTGATCCGTTACAAAGTCCTAAACAAAAGAGCGGACTTTCCCGATGTCGCTTTATGATAGCCAGTTTCTTCATGCTGGGCTTTATGTGTATACCGCAATCGGCGAATTTGTTATTCATTTGGGGTAACGTGGATATGATGACCGAAAACCTGGCGACCGCTAATATTCCAGTCGCGAATTCTTTCATGAAAGCTTTCACCATCTGGCGTAAAAGGAAAGGTATAAAGCACAAAGAACGTTAAAGAGCAAGAAAACTTTTTTAACAATACAATCATTTTTTGCTATTTATGCCAAATTGTCAATGTATTATCTAATGATAAAATAAAATTAGACCTGTTTACATAAATTTCCATTCAAAAATCCGAAATATTTGTTTAAAGTTTTGAAGCCGTTGGTCAACTTCTTCTATCAAGATTGGTATATGCCAAAAACATCTGAAGAAAGAACAATTATGCTAAAGAATGCTAAAATTGTGAGAAAGATATCCATATGGTGCACAATACTAACGCAGGTCATGGTGACCATTTATATCGTTCTAAGGATCTCGACGATTATCAGATTTTCACCTAGTGACCCGGCTCGTCCTATGCTTTATACAGCCTATTTTCCTTTCGACATTACCAGAAGTCCGATTTTTGAATTGATTTGTGTATGCCAGATTTTATCTGCTTATAGCGCAACAGTTTCTTACACCGGTAGCGACAGTTTCATTTCCATGCTAGTGCTCCACGTCTGCGGTCAATTTGAAAACTTGCGCGAGAGGCTCAAGAATCTCGCTAATGATCCGAACGCAGTAAAAACGTCTCAAGAGTTCAAGAGTAAACTGAGACAAATTGTAATGAGACATGAACATTTAAACTGGTTTGTATAATTTATGGAAACAAGTGTGCTTTTATCCACTTTATATGCTAAAAAACGCAGAATTACCTTGTATGAAATAAGTTTACATAAAAGAAGATATACTGCAGTAGATAATTGTTTAAAATTATTAGAGCAGTCATATAAAATGTAGTGGAAATGCAGATAATGAAAATTCAGATAATAAAATGAACTAATATGTTAATAATTGTTGTAATTAGTAAGGCACTTCTCAAGAAGCTTTATGAACAGGGCATCCGTCATCTAGTTTCACAATAAAAAAAAAATGCCTTGCCAATCACAGTAAATATTAATATGTTAGTTAATTGACTAAATTTTTCATCCACTACATTTCATTTTACTGCTCTAATAATTTCAAAATTATTGATAAACTTTTTTCAAAATTTTTTCTCCATTTACAAAATTATATAGAATGCATGTAATAAATTTTCAAGTTCAATTTATTACAATCAATTCAATTCACTCAAATTTAATTAAAAAAAATTATCTGTCATGTTCGAATAAAGAATATTTGGTAAAAAAAAAAAATGATTTATGTTAAATTATAACACGTTAAATATGTTCTACAAATTACATTTGCATAAACAATTTCTTGTTAAATAGATCATTTAACAAGAAATTGTTTATGCAAATGTGTAATTTGTAAAACATATTTAACGTGTTATAATTTAACATAAATCAATAAAAGTTAAAATACTAATTGTATGTGTCAAGGTTTGCAAAAACAATTGAGGATTCCTTCAATATGATAATGCTAATACAAATGCTTTCTTGTACTGTTCAATTGTGCTTTCAAGGATTTCAGGTTTTTAGGGTGAGTGACACGAAGAATAGTATTTTATCAGATCCTATCGTTTTCGCATTTATTTCCGTTCTATTCAACTTAAAATATAATATTAACATTTCGTTAACGTTACACTTGTATTTATCACATTGCTACGTACAAATCTTTCCAACTAATTCAGATAATATGAAAATGTATAGGTATAATAAAAATCAGAAATATTTCAGATATTAATAAATGAAGAAGAAAATAGTTCGCTGACCTTCCAATTAATTTTTCTATTCAGTTTCGTAGGATTTGTTCTAGCTCACTTGTATGTTTATTGTTACGTTGGTGAAATGCTGCTTGTACAAGTAAGATACAATATACGGAATATATTATGTGTGCTTTCACGGATATTTTTTTTAGAAGTGCTAAAAGGTTTGCGGGTTATCACCGTATCGTGATCCATTGCTAATGCCATTAGCAATGGATTACGACATGGCGACAATCTGCAAACCCTTTGGCACGTCTGAATGTATATTACATATTGCACTTTCTTATTTCTTTGTAAGACATTCAAACAAACAAAACTGACATTATTTATCGTTATTTTAATGTCTGGACATTAAAGACGCTAAATGTACATTAAAATGACGACAAATAACATCGGTTTGTTTGCTGAAGTAATAATAGGAATTTATTGCAAATATATACATAAACATAACTATATAACAGTATATATACGCACGTTATATTTTAAGACGATATTTATAAGACGATAAAAAATCAAAGCTAATTGATTTTTCGATTGATTTTAAATTCCTTATTTATGATTTATCGATCAAAAAATCAGTTAGCTCTAATTCTCTTTTATCTTATATGTATATTAAGTCTTATAAGTTAAAATATATATAACAAGAAATATATTTACTATTCAGAAAATAATCGCACATCAAAATTATTATATAAATCTAGATATTAAGTATTAAATATTAATTAATAATATTGAAGAGTACTGAAATAGGATTCTCTGCATACGAATCGAACTGGTTTAATGTGCCAGGAAAAGAAGCCAGAAATCTTCTATTTATCTTACATAGATCGACAGCGCCTCTTTGCTTAACTGCTGGAAAATTCAGCACATTTTCTTTACAGATGTTCAGTAAGGTAAAACCTTGTATAAATAATCATTATTTTATAAATAATTACATCGTAAATTATTTTGTCTGATATGTAATATCTGCAATATCGGAGAAATATTGTGATTAATTTAAATTAATTGATTTATTAATTGATCGATCGATCAATCGATCGATCCATCCATTCATAAATCAATTACCATATTTTCCCGATATTACAAATATTACAAAAGATGGATTGATCAATCAATCAACTGAATGATCTAATCAATTAATAGAATGATTAATTCATTTATTCTATAAATTAGGGTGAGTTTTTAAATTCATCGATTGATCAATCGCATTGTGCGTAGATGTAATTTTGTTCTGTAAAAGCTACATTTGCGCATTATGCGATTAATGAATCAATGAATTGAAAAACTCGCCTTTAGTTACGCAACTGCGCGTATGAATATATTATGTATATGTTGAATTTTCTGTTAAATGTCATTTTATTTCAGATTGTGAGAACTTCACTCGGTTATCTCTCAGTATTACTTACAGTAACCGAACGAAAAGAATAGTTCATTTTTAAAATTTAATATAATTATGATGACAATTGTTGTACAATTGTACTGTTATCATTAAATGAGTTTACCACACTAAGAATGCCGTATTTAATTTCTATTTTTAATATATGTAACAAATTGTATATATCATTTTTAAGTGTGTTTAAAAGAATTCATAGATGATTCAGATTTTAAACATTGACATTCAGATTTTTAAATAAGACTTAAACAAATCATGAATTTTAAAAAGCTATTTTAACAAATTTAATTTTTGACATTTTAATTATAAATAACAAAATCAATTACTGCGCACAAGTAATTTATTCAATTATTTTACGCGCTTTTATAAATATCCTTTATAAAACAAAGTAAACAAAAGTGTATTTTAAAAAGTCATATTCAATATTTATTAGATTATTACATTAGTATTAGATGACAAAAATAAAGAAGCAGACGAGACTAAAAAAAAGACCAAAGACCGAGTCATATTCGCCATTTCTTCCATATCAGTATCCTCCATATTTATCTGGATATCGATCATATAATTTTCTCCTTACGGCAAAAATGTAAAAAGTAAAAATTTTTATCATTTAAAGATAATGAAAAATTTTCTACTTTTTACGTTTTAGCTCTAAAGCCTTTAGTTGTGTACATTATGCAAAATACACACACATGATCGGTATATCTTTTAATATTACGTACGTTAATGGTCTTTGTCCTAATTATCAAAAGGCGATTAACAGTATTCTGGATGTACCAAATTTTTGGTATATCTTTTATTAACAAATAAATATTTCAGAAAAAAAGATAAATCTTTGTAAAAATAATTGTAACAGACAAATATAAACTAAATTACTTTATACTTATAATAATTTGCATATCAACAATAATATGATATCAAAAATGTATGTAATGTTATTTTTAACATCAATCAATAATTAAATATATTGACCGTGAGAGTCTCATATATTCTTCATTGCCAATCGTTTGCAAACTTCTACGACAGAGGGAACCTTAGTATTGCAAGCGAATAATTTATTCTCAATATTACTGTGCATATACTATTTTATTTAAAATTACGAGTATAACTATTATTTTTGAAGATCGTATAAATGTGAATAAAAATATGTACAGTTCAACATTTTCTAAAATTTATTTACTTAATAAATGCAATGTAAAAATAGTAGATATATTATTCTTATATTTTTAACATAATTTTTATTTGCACACAAAAACGCAGCGTTTCTAATATTTTAATGTAATTTTTTTGTTTCTGACAACAAACATATCATCAAAATGTAATAATTTTATAATATGTCACGTAATAGCGGAAAAGATAAAGAAATTTATTCTTGCCATGGCACTACTTTATCTTTATCTATTACAACAAACTTGGATTAGAGGAATACGGAATCACGAATTATATCACGATATTTATAGAAATTTGAAAAAATATAAGTTTCAGTCAAGCTTCAAGCGTTACGATATTTTACTTTCTTTCTTATGCACAGCAATTGACCAATTTGCCGTTTATCTGGAACAACTTTGATGGTAGAAAACTTGTCTATAGGAAACGAAACACTTACGGTCTTATTATATTTATATAAAGACTATGGTCCGTATTCAGAACGCACTTTTATCGATAAAAGCGCGCTTTTATCACTGAAATTCTATACCATACGTGATATAAACTATAGCATGTTAGCGTGCTAATATCATTGTTAGCGTATTCAACGTACGGGCCTATATTATTTCATTTAACGATGGACCTAAATATATCAATTTTTATATAATAGAAATCAGTCTTAATTTTTTATCAATGTAATGCGCTAGTAGTTTAATGCACTGAAAAAAAATTCTGGTTGAATTAATTCGAATTTGATTTGAAAAAAACAAACCAGAACAATTTTCCGATTAAATCTACGAGTATTATAATTTTAGTTGGGATATATGGTATAATCAGAATTCTAATTGATGTAATTAGAATTTTCTGTGGTTCATTTATTTCTCTCTCTCAAATAGAAATTTTTCTTACTCTCCAAATCTTTTGGAGTAAAATCTCACTCTAAAAAGTAAAAATTGAGCCTTGAAAAAGAATTTTTAGTCTTTAAAAATGAGATTTCACTCTTCAGAGTGAGATTCACAGTAGAGACAGAATTTCTAGACGTAGCTGGAAAATATCATGAGAATGTATGAATATTTCAATAGGTGAAATCAGCTACGTAAAAGTGTGTAAAGCTCAAAGTGAAAAATTATTGAGAATTATACTAAAGGATTACTTGCAATTTTCAGTAAATAATTATCTAATTTCTAATATTCTGTTTAAGAGCGATAATCAATTATTTCCAAATTTTAGAAATGTTATAAAAACGTAATCGTAAAAAAATACAAACGCAATTTATAAACAGAATTTCACGCTTGTCCTGACAATAGTTTTCTATAAGATTTGTAGAAACGATCGAAGATTCTTTCAACATAATGCATTCCGATATAGATGTTAAAATGCTTGTTGCAGCTTTATTTTCAGTGTTTACAGGCGTTCGTGGACTACAAAGAAAGAAATGATCCGTAAAAATAAAAAAAGCAAGAGAATGAATCGGACCTGTCATCATGACTCCTTATTTTGTATACCTAATACGAGTAACAGGCAAAAGGACAAAGTAGCCAAATCACCGAATTCGTTTTTCTGTTGATTTATGTGATTTACATGTTGCCGCAATTGTATCTGTACTGTTAATATCGGCGGAAATTACTTGTCAAGGTAACATAATAAATATACATAACTTATTGATCGATATATTGATATAAATCCCGATATTTTAATCCATTAACGCGCAGAAGGACATTTTTTTGCAACTCTCGAAAATTGAAATTTTATCGTTTTTACTGTGACAGTTTGTTGCAAGCAGTTTCCAATTAGTTGTTTTCAGGATAACTATTTGCAATAAATTGTATTCTAGTGTTCTCAAATTGTCGTCGTTGTTACGATTACTTCTTTAGTAATAGTTCATTGCAAGCACTTCGTCATCAGTTGTTTTTACGACTACTATTTGCAATAAATTGTGTTTGAACACACCAAAAAAATCGAATTTTCCGTAAAAACGACAAAATTTCAATTTTTGGGAGTTGCTGGATTTTGCCATGTTGGATCCGTGATCTTTGGAATAATTCCAAATTTTCATACACTTCTAACACTCTAACAATTTGAAGATTGAGATTTCAAAATTAATGACGTACAACTAAATTTATTTTGAATTCTTTTAGCTCTCTGTGCTATGTGAGCGATAACTTATTGATCTATTTATTGACTTAAATCCCGACATTTCTAATGTATCGATATAACACCGAAACTATGTATCAGATCATAATTCCAAGAACAAGATTAAATTTTTGGATAAATATAAATACTAATAACTTATTGATTAATTTATTGACAAAAATCCCAATATTTCGATATATCGATATCCTTGTCGAAACTAGATATATCTTAAATTATATTTCTAGGAACAAGATTAAATTTTTAGACGAATATGAACTTTATTTTATATTAGTGAATAATATTATCATCTTAATCAACCAATAAAATATGTTGTTAGTTTAATACACTGTTAAAAAAGACATGAAATTTCATGTAAATGTAATGAAAGCAAATTTCAAGCAGATACATTAAAATCGTTAAATCTAAATTACTTATAATTTTATGCTCATTGACAACATTGAAGGATTTTAATGTACCTGCTTGAAATTTGCTTCCATTACTTTACATGAAATTTAATATATTAAATATATTTTTAACAGTGTATATACAAATTAGATATTAAAATTTTCTAGTGTTAAACAGTATTCTAGAAAGCGAACTTATTTACTTTGTTACGTTGATGATTATGTATTTCAGAATTGTATAGTCATTAACTATGGTACACGCTTTCGTGTTAAGGCAATCTGCATGACGCCTTGAACGTTAATAAGCGAGACCAAAAAACGTGTTTTTTCCATATAATGTTTTCCTTTTTCCTTTATATATAATAATTTCTTTCTAAATACTAATTATAAGTTAATTATTTTCCTCAAATGTATAAAACGCATAAAAAATTATTTAGAAAAATAAATAAATCAATATATGTATATCATGGTATTATATAACATGGATCAATATCAAATTCTATCCAAAATGCCATACTTCAAAGATATTTTACGCTGAACATGATAATATTAATAGAATTTAAATAGTGTGTCATTTTGAGTAAATTGGAATGAAATTACATTTATGGACATTTTTACTTTATAACACTATTTACTATAAAACAAAAACTTATTTCTAAATAAGATCTACGGCACCTAAACTTTAAAACTAAAAATTTATTTGAAGTCTTAAATTGTACTTTTAGGTACTGTATAAAATTTATTTAGAAGTTTACTCAAAATCCTGATACATTACTCAAATTCTGTCAATGCCATTATGTTCAGCAAAAAAAAATATTCGAAGTATATATTATGACACTTTGGAGAGAATTTGATGTTTGCGTTACAGAATTTCTGATTGCAGTTTCATATTTAGTACAACTGTATCCTCATTTTGCAGTTAGTCACAGTTCTATGACTCATGTTTGGAATCCTTTGAATCTGACATTCCAAAGTACGAAAATAACATACGCAGTATATAACTGCAGTTGGTATAACTTGTCAGCATGAAACGAGATCGCTAATGATCATCATTTGTCGAGCTTGATCACCATTACACATCACCACCAGCCATTCTGTTTTTTTTTTCAACTGGGAGCTCTATAGCAAGGTATGAAATCATAAAATATCATGATCGATTTTTATTTCTTGATCTCTTTAGATCGATAAACTAATCGATGAACTAATTTTTAGATTTATCTATTAAATATAAAATATGTATATTTAATTATTTTAATTTTATCTTTATAAATTCTTCTATTTTTGTAAATATAAACGCACGTATATCTTTAATTTGTAAAAAATTCGAAATGTTTTATTTTAATATTGTGAGAAAATAGCTTCCTACTTCTAACAGTTTTTCTACCAAAAAATATACAGTTATATATTGATGACGTCATTATGTGTTAATTCAAAAGAGTTTAAAAGATAAAAAATCGATATCGATTTTAGATTCTGAAGAGATCAATGATTTATGTACATGTTCAGTATGCTCTAATAAATTAATATTGAATAGACTAATTATAGTTAATGTACATATTAGATCACATATATGATTTGAAAAACTTCACGTTATAGATAATTATATAAAAATAAAATTATTAATAAAAATTTTACTAAAAAAAATTCTAAACAATATTCTATGTATACGAAAAATACAAAAATATAAATTTTTAAGGTTATTATCAAATATGTCATTAAAATATTATTTTTGTTATTAATCAAAAGGCAATATTGATGAAAAGCATATTTATTAATAATAATGTAGCTCTAATGTTTCAAGAACAAGAATAGTAGACAAATAAGTATATGACAGACTATAATAAATTTCGTAAAATTCATTTTGTTGTTTTAATGTGCAAACGGAAAAAAATCATCATTTATAAAATAAACAAATAATTATTATCAATCGCATTATACGTAAATATTTATTTAATATATTTAATAAATACGAATTAAAATATCTCTTCATTATTTTACAGCTCCTATAATTTTTCAGTTTTTACAAAGAGCTATAGATAAAGAATTTAAATATAATGTTTATAGATGTTTGTGTTAATGCGTTAATATTCTGTTCAATTGTATATTGTTGTGCCTATATACAACATCATCTATTTGCATCATATTTGTGTTTTACGATCCATGGAGTTAATTTGAATTTTTATTCTATTTCATTCTATTTTATTGTATTAATATAAACCTATCGAGGGATCATAATATTATTTCGCATTAAAACGTTAAATCATTGCATATAAAAAAAACGATCCCTCAAAACGTAAGTAATGTGCAAATTCTGCAATTTCTGCACGTGCGCAGAATCGACCGCAATGAATAAGAGATGTAGGGGGAGGTGTATTATAAGGAAAAGAAGAGAGGACGTGACGAAACGAAAATAGCAGGGCACGGCGGTGACTATTAATGGGCTTCGCAGGAGCCGGATCTCACATTAAGTATGCAGCGAAAACTTTATTTTCCCTCAACATTTTCCTCGTTTTTTCGCCGGCTTGTTTTTCCGTCCCGACTGTTCGTCTAGGCCGGGTGCATATTTAAGCAACTTGATCTGCCACAGACGAATTACTCGCGTAAAATGCACACTGCCGATGCATATTTGATGAAAGAGTCTATAGACCCTGTGATTACGCCCAACAGTTCACGTTACAAGTTCGTGAACTAAGTATTCTGTCTACGAGAAAAATAATAGTTCTCTGGAAGTGTTTCGAGACTATAACAAAACAGAGTTCTGATATACGAAGCTTGCAAATTTTACTGTCGCAAATATTCGATCGATAATTCTCAGTTCCAACGTAGACGATCCACGGAGATGATCGCTCCGTCGCTTCTGCTATATCATTTTGCTCATCGTTCTATACCACCGAAATTTTTCCGTAGAAATATCAAAGTTTATCGAGGATGCTTCTCACTTTTAACAAATATTTCACCACATTTTAAATTGGTAATAATGATGTTTTGCAAGAGCGTTGTAAATATATTTTCACAGAACAGCAATTGCGCGAATTTTTGCTCCAAGAATCAAACGTCCGATTACTTGGCAAGTGCTCTCTCTCTCTCTCTCTCTCTCTCTCTAATAATATTAATTTTATAAAAGAATTCAACAAAGGGACCATTGAGATGATCAATTGCTCGAACGAATCCACACGACTGCATCGTTTAATTCTATCTGTCGGGGTATTTTATTCGGGTAAAAGTTTACAAGTGACGTGCTTTCACCGCTTATTTCCGTCAACCCGCGAGGAAAGTGCACGCGGAGTGCGGCGAAGAGCTGGGGAGCGACTAATGAGTGTCATTAACGATTGCGTGGTTTACCGTCACAATGGAGAAAATCAGAAGATGACAGTTACTACTAACTGCAAGCGCAGATGGACGCGGATAAAACGACTTCACGCTTTGCCGGGAGAGCAATGTGCGCGTCTAATATAAAAGTACGCTGCCATGCAAATCGCGACGTTACTTCGACTTCCAAAGTTCAAGTTAAAGGTTTAGTTTAACATTTCGTTAGTATTTTGACTTGACAAAGCATATTATATTTCGAGAATCCAAGATATTAGTCAATTCAAGATATAACTAACTATAGATATCGCAAGGGTGTAAAGAAATTCTTCTTCGTAATAAATTGAAAATAATATTAACAATTTAAGCAATAGTCAAGATTTACAATTACCTGCTGAAAACGTCTTATCAATTACAACGTACATACATCGTTAAGAAAGATGATAGTTAACGCGAGAGTGTTTGTGTTGATTGCGCTGGTAACCTATAGCGTATGCGCTCATACAATCGACATTCGAGATCCTTATAAAAGAACTAATGATAAAAAATATGCTGGATCCATGCTGGCTGAGATCGCAAAGGAATTAGTGCAAAGATCGACGACCAGCAGTCAGGTAATAAAAATTATACATCACTATGTAAGAAATTACAAAAATGTAACGTTCCCAACAATTAGATGTGTGAAGAATATAAACGAAAAATAATATCTTTCAATAACAGTGCTAATTTGAATTAAATAAGTATTTATTAAACTAAAGTTCAAACCCAATAAACCTCAAGTAAAATTCTCGATCAATATTATAATTTTTTATTCAATAATACACTGAAAAAAAAGATTAGTATAATAATCGAGCCTAGATGACAGTTACCAAATGGTGAAATAATTTCAATTAAATGTTCGGTTGATATAATCAAAAAATTTGATAACTATTACTACCAAGATTTGGAAATTGATAACAAAGCTAGATGATTATTATAAAATCATATGATAAATATAATCAAATTATTAGTAATCTTAAACGAAATAATTTGGCATTTGTTATCAAATAATATAGTAATTATTACTCAAAAGACTGGCAAATGTAACTAAATTACGCGCACAACATGGGGATATCGACATTTGGTAACAATTATTTTTTATTAAATAATTTGATATTCATTATCAAATCAGTTAAAAATACCTTCTTCATATAATTTTATAATAACGATACCAAATATTTAATTTATATTATCAAATTATTTGGTTTCAAGTCAATCATAATTGAACCAACTAACTGAGAATTTTAGCTTTCTAAATATTTAGTGATTATTACTAAACGATTAGTTACTATTATTGTATTTGGTTTTACTTATTAAAAATTGCATCAATATGCTCAACAAAATGCATTCGGTAGCTATTACCAGACTTTTTTCTCAGTGTATAAATCATGATTTACAGTTATTATTAATTGATGTTTATAGATGAGATATAGTACAATAAAATCGTGTACTATCTAAGATGGATTTTATTTATTTATTTTAAAATAAAATTAAATCTCACGGGAACATTTAACGATAAATGTTAAACTAGAATTATAAATTAAAAGGAAATTGCAATATTACAGGTGCTGACTTTAAATCTCTCGAACTTGTTATTACTTTTGGTGCTCAAAGTAATTGTGTTCGGCGCTGGCTACATAGGACATGGTTACAAAGGACGCGAATTAGAAGATGGTAATTTCAAAATGTATATGTATAAACCGTTAATATTCATTTGAATACACTTTTCGTCGTATAATGGTTATATTGCATAAACAACAATTGATTGCATTGCGTGTAATACCAACATGTTGCCGCGGCGCTTTGAAATCTCGACGAGTATATGCAGCAAAATTAAAAATTATGATCAGAATTATTTTTAATTATAACTCTGTATTAATTTCAGAAAATATTGTATCGGAGGGTGAGCTTGCATTAGCGCTTGGGTATCTGATCGGTGATACCTGTTTGTACAGAGCAGCTTGCGAAGAGCCACATACTGCGAGAGAATATCTCGGCGCAGCAGAAATGCTCTTGCAAACGATGAAGTTGATGCCACAGTATGTATATATAAAATATTAAAGAAAAATTATAAGTCATGAATTAAATATTCTGTAGTATATGTACCAAAAAGTACTCGATACTTTTTTGGTTTTCAAAGACATAATCTTTACTGTAATTACTATCAATAAACATAAGAATCACTAGATACTTTTTAAAGGGGGGTTTATCACAGGATTTAAAAAATGCCTATTTTTATAAATAACTTATTAGAGTTGTGTGTACATAGTACATATCATAAACTTAATATTTGCAATGTTTTATCATTTCATCCAACAATTGATTTATTTACTGGTACATTTAATTAATATAATTAAATGATTTATGATTTAAATTAATAAATTTCGCTTGTTTTTTGCAATGCAAATTAAAATAAATGAACGGTCTATATCGAGATAAATGAATTTAATGTTAAATTTTATAATATAAATGAGAACATAAAACTAACTAAAGTATCGTACGTTTCGGAACTCACAGGCCCTTCTTCAGCGATTCTTACAGATGTTAGTGTCATTGGATTGATATATTTTCTTATGTGTGATATTCTAATAAAGACATGCTAATATAATAATTATAGTTCGGATTGATATTCCTGTTCTCAATGTGAATGTATTGTAGAGGCATATAAGACAACTGTTGAACGTTTAACTTGATCGGACGAATTTGTAATGATGATCCTGTCTCACATGCCTCTACAATACTCTAGTATTAAGAACAGAAAAATCAATCCGAACTATAATTGTTAAGTATATCAGCATGTTTTTATCGCAACACATCATAAAAAAATATATCAATCCAATGACACAATTAAACATCTGTAAGAATCGCTGAATGAGGACCTTTGAGTTCCGACACTTTAATTAGTTTTAATTAGTTTTATGTTCCCATTTATATTATAAAATTTAAGAACAACATTAAATTCATTTAACTCGATATAGACCATTTATTTATTTCAAGTAATATTTAAAATTAAATATTATATTATATTAAAGAAGAAAATATATTGTATTTATGAAAAATTAAATAGAAAATAATCTACTGCTGCGAAAATAAAGCAGCGTGAATATTCTGTATGTAAAATTTTCATTTCCGTAGAAGCTTACCTGTAGAATCCAATTATGAGAAGACGATCACAGAGTTCCGGAAGGCGATTGAGTATGGCAATATCGAGCAATGTCCATCAGAGTACAGCTGCAAAAAAGAAAACTTGAGTAATTTCTTACAAAGTGAAAACCGATAATGTTATTTATACATATATATTAAACATCCAGTAATTCTTATTTTCGTAGATAAGCTATATAAATCGCACATGAAAATAATATTTTATATGAACAATAAATGTGTATCTTTCTGAATTATTAATCTTTTGCAGAAATTATTTTATTTTTATTGTCATATATAATTGGAATTATAGTTATTCGATGACAAAATAATTTACGAAAAATGGCAAAAATATTATCATTTATTAAAACAAAAAAAAAAGATTATTTTTAAAGTTACATAAATTACACTTTTATAACTTTAATTTAATACAGAAAATATAAAATTTAAAAAAATTATTATATAATCTTTCGTGCATCTTATATACACAATTATCAAGTATATCTATGTAAAAAAATATTTATTTTATAACATTTTTTACGAATTTCTAAAAAATATATGTTAAGAAAATTATTTAATTTTATAATTATTACATACTACAATGTATAAACATAGACACAGATATATACAATATAAAAATTAATAACGATATACATATTATAATTAATTTTTATATTATTGACTCTAATGTGTTACTGAATTAATTATTAAACAATATTATTATACACATTTAACGATATATAGATAATATGAGTAATATATTGTAATTCAATATGGTTATATGAAAATGGCTTGTAATTTGCATTCGACATAAATTTAATGTACCATATATAATTATAACTCATCCAGAAAATATTGGTCAAATTGACGTCGATTTTGATTAACATGTTATCAACGTCGATCGACGATAATTCGACTAATTATAATGATTAAGTCTAGTAGTATATAAATTCACACGAAATTATACAAGTATCTAAAATTCAGCTAGATCATTAAAGGCTTTGTTTCTTATTAGTTCGAGACTATGTCTCAAACAACTTAGTTTCAAAAATACAAGGTGTCAAAATTAAAATTTTGTTCCTTTTTAATTTTCAAAAACCATTTCATTTGAGTTATTTTGATGAAACTAACAGTAATTTGTAAGAGATAAACTCTCTCTCTTTCTCTCTCTTTACTGACCAAATTATGTACTGCACTATAATTCCTACTAATGCCCAGTAATGTCCATGTAATATTCAAGTAATCCCATTAATATCATAGCCTATTAATTTCCTAGTAATGCTCTACAATGCCAGTGATGCATATAATTTCATACTGCTTATTATAATACACAATGTTCTTAAATAATGCTCCAAATCGTACACTGTAATGCCTTCAGCAATTTATCCTTTAGATAAAACTTTAAATTTAATATATATAATGAAAATTCATCTAAATATATGTAATTTTTATTATAATATAATTTTCAAAACTTTTAAAATAAACAAAATTTTGAACTTTAACATCCTGTATCTTTAAAACTATATGCTATTTTGGATATATGATTATATCAAGATTTCATCTTGAATTTGTGTGAGAAATCATCCCTTAAGAGGATCCTAAAGACAAAGTCATATTAGAAATCATATTAGAAATAGCACTTACACACTACATATATCACTATATCAATATCATCCATTCTTTTATACTTTTTATAGTATATACCCTGCATATGTTTATATTTATAATAACAGAAAAAAAATTTTTTACAAGTATCCAAACAATATGCATGAATGCTTAAAAGATGTCAAAAATACATCATAACAATAGGTTTGTTCGCGTCGCACGCTCCAACATGCTCCAATATATGCTCCTATCATAGCTCTTACTCTCTCCAACGTGCTCGTTGAAGTGAGCAAGAGCTATATGGTAGGAGCATATTGGAGCATGTTGGAGCGTGCGACGCGAACAAACCTAATATCTTTTGGGGCACGTACACATACCTAAAAAAATATCGAAACGAAATCTAGGCAATGTGTTATCTTCTCTCTTTCTCATTCACTCGCTTACTATAATACATTAATTCGGACTTTGAGATTAAACCCGAATGCAATTACAATTTGAGACACAAATATTCTCCTAATTCAAATAATTTCTAGGTAAATCGAATATAATTGCGCGATACAAATAAAAAAAGGAGTTTTATTTTTATGCAAGAATAAGCTGCACTGTTCATTGGCGCTTATCTTTGAAGAATATAAGATTATTATAAGCGATGCTCCAAAAGAAACTGCGGATAGACATATAAATCTCACTTACCATACATGTGTATCTATACATACACAAAACACAACTGAAATAATTTGTGATCACGATGGGTTTCTTCCATCATGTTTGTGACTTGTGCACTATTAAAAATTTTGACAATTCTTGGTAAAGACAGGTTCACCTTCTTTTCAATTTGTATTACGTCGTGCGCCACTGGCGCCACATTTCCTTGCAATTTCTGCCACTAAGCGACGCTAGGCAACCTAACCTTACAGAGTCATAGATGACGGCGACGCTGACGCATCAGTGACGGGCCTCCAAACTGACCGTGGCGTACCAGCGTTAGTGACGCCTCTACCGTGTTCTCCATGTAAATGAACTAAATGCATGGATGCATGAGTACGTGTCGGTAAAAAAGTCGATTCAAGTTTTGTCATGAGATACAAAAGTATATAATGGAAAAATTAAAAAATGTTTTAAACGAAACATTTTCAAAGTTCACAATACATTGTTCTATTGTACGGAATATTATAATAGATATAACTGTAAATAATAACAATTTTATGTATATGTCGCGGCTAAAAGAATGCATTCTAAGAAAAAAAAAAACAGATCCCCTTATTTTCAGAATACAAATTATTTATAGATATATTAATATTTTTACAGATGTATATATAACATAAAATATGTATATATACATTTTATATTGGAAAAAAAATAAAAACATATATTACATTAATAAACCATTGTATAATATATATACACCTAAATTTTCATAAAGCATTGCAAAAAAATTTGGCGTTAATTTCATATATATATATATATAGATGTGTGTATATATATATATATATATATATATATATACATACAACAATAGACGCCATATTGTGTCATTTTGCTATTTAGTTCCGGTTTACGGAGGAAGGTAGCGCCACAAATCACCACAAATGCTGGTAGTACATTGTAGTACATGTTCTGTGATGCTGGTCATACAAAATCATAGGGCAGTAATTGATTTTTGCTCGGTCACTTTGGTTTGGTTCGACCGTGACGGACGCGGGAGTCTTTAATTAATAATAAGAAGAAGAAAAAAATGAGTTCTATAGGGACAGGGGTGAGTATTCTCACGCATTGAGGCGTTTTTTCGTTATCCAACCAAAAGCAACCGCGGCTAAAACTATCTTTGTCTTCTGATCCCTGAAAACGAAGATAGTCTTAGTCGCGGTTGCTGTTAGTTAGGTAACGAAAAAACGTCTTTGCTCAATACACAATTTTCGTTCCAGTATGACTTGTCCGCCTCGCAATTTTCGCCGGACGGACGTGTGTTTCAAGTGGAATATGCGCATAAAGCCGTAGAAAATGGAGGGTGAGTTTCTCTCGTCATGAGTTTTTATATAAACATCGATTGGAGTAACATTTGCATACACTAACATTCTAGTGAAAATCAATGCGACATGTAGAACATCTAAAATATTAATAAGGAAAAATTCTTGCATGCATATCTATACTTTATTTATTATAGGCAGTATTCATAGTTTATTCTCATTTTAAGACCGTTTTAAGTAACATTTTAAGATGCTAATACACAGCTTTCTGATTGTGGTTTATGATATCTTAAAAGGCTATACTTAAGACAATTTTAAATGTAAGAATCGACTGTCATCACTGAGTGGTTCATGATATCTTAATACAGTACTTAAGATGGTTTTGAATATGAGATAATATCCAACTGTCAATATCGACTTATGTATGTAATTATGTTTTGTTACAGGACAGTTATTGGTTTACGAGGGAAGGATGGCGTAGTATTTGCTATTGAAAAGATAGTAACGTCGAAGCTCTACGAACCAGGTGCTAATAAACGAATATTTAACATAGATCAACACGTTGGTATGGCAGTCTCTGGTATAATATCAGATGCAAGACAGATCGCAGAGACTGCGAGATCAGAGGCTGCTAGTTATAGAGCACAATATGGAGTTGGTATTCCATTAAAGTATTTAAACGAAAGAGTCTCTATGTATATGCATGCATATACCTTATATTCTGCTGTACGTCCATATGGTTGCTCTGTCTTGCTCAGTGCTTATGAGACAGACGGTCCAGTATTGTATATGATTGACCCATCAGGAGTTTCGTATGGCTATTATGGCTGTGCAGTAGGTAAGTCAAGTCCATAGTAAAAAAAAAAGAAATGGAACGTAAGCTGTATTCAAAGTCAGTTCTTATATTTAAAACTTAAATACAATCTGGAGATGTTATAAACCAATCACACACACCACAAAGCTGTATTAACATCACAAGACGTTATTTAACACAATTTTGAAATAAGAACGAACTATGAATACTAGCCATGCAGATAGAATTTATGTTTTATAATTATATTATCCACAGGTAAAGCAAAACAGTCGGCAAAAACGGAAATTGAAAAATTGAAATTATCAGAAATGACTTGTAAAGATTTAGTCAAAGAAGCTGCTCGTATTATCTACCTTGTCCATGATGAGCTTAAGGATAAACAATTTGAATTGGAAATGAGTTGGGTTGGTGCACATACTAAAGGAATTCATCAACGTGTACCGGCAGATTTGAAAACTGAAGCCGAAACAAAGGCACGACAGGCAATGGCAGAAGATTCGGACAGTGATACCGAGGATATGTAAAATTATATATAAATTCTGCCGTTAAAATTTATATTGTAAACCATAATATTAAATATAACATTAATACACACAAATATATGCATTGATTAATGTTTTTAAAACAAATAATTGAAGAAATAAAGGACTCTTTTTATAAACAATAATTAATACGTTGAGAATGGCGAATAAGAGTCAATCTAAATCTGATAATATATTCTAATATTCTATATTGCGAAGAATATCACGTAAT